CACTCCCAAAATGATAGTGGTGGGGAAAAAAAAAAAAAAAAACACAAACAAACAAACAAAAAAAATCAGTGTTCTGGGTGAGGGGATGGCGGGGGGAAGGAGGGTTTCTTTCTTGCAAGAGTGGAAGGATTTGCTTGCTTTAAGGTCAATGGGTTTGAGATGCAAAGAGGAACAAAACTGTGAAAAGGAATGCAATGTTTCAGAGAGGACTGTTAACGTCCTCATCCACAATCACCTGAAATTGCAAATAATGATGGAAAACAATAAAATATCAGTGAAGTGGGTAGCACTGTGTACTTTCTTTTTCCTGTTAGAGCTTGAGGGATTTTTGCTCTAAGTGAATTTTTGGTGAAAGCAAGATCCACTCTTAATTATTTGTAAGTAGTGAGGATCAAGCTTACCACCACAGACAGTATCCAAAATGCAGGTGGCTGCTGGCGTGAAGTGGATCTGGTTATTCTCCTTCCCACGGGCTTTGCAGCTTAAGGGGATGTGGGGCCTCTGATCCTGGTGGCTTCTGTCCTGTGGACGTGACCACAGGGTATGAACAAGGGATGCTGGAAACATGGGAGAGACTGGGATAGGACTGAAGCAACTCTTCCTGTGAGGTCATGCTCAGGTTTTGGGAGAGAAATGGCTTTTTCTTCTCCCATTGTGTGGTCCCAGGAAAAATGTAAGCAGGAGCTGATGTATTTCTTGGCATTGTAGCTGTCTGGCTTTGGGAGCTGGAGAGAAAATGGAAGGAAAAAGATGTGCAGAAGAAAAGTGGAGAGATTTCCTTTGTATTTGTGCTTGAAATGGGCGTGAATGATACTTGTTTCACTGTCCTGCTATTTCAGAAAGAGTACTCCAGCTCTGTTTGCTAGGTGCCCCTGGGGATCTGCTGTCTCTTGCGGGAAATTGTTTTATTGTATAACATGCCCGTTCCTGTGGATCGGTTCCTTGCCTGCGGTCTCCGGAATGGGCAGGGAGGCACCCAGCCAGCAGCAATGTTGGGTTTTCGGGGTACAGAGAGAAGCAGGCGCTGACCCCACAGCCCTGGCACAGCAAGCAGTGAGGGCAGGCAGGTGGAGCCACATTTCAGGGACACGGGGACGGATGAGCTGGGCGACCTTTCTCTGCTGGCTTGAGCTAAAGGCCGTCTGCAAGTGTCCAGGCTTATATTTGTGGCGAGGTCCAAGAGTAGATGAGATGTACTGGGATCAGTCACCTGTGATGTGGACTGGAGCCTCACCATCACCTTGCTGTGTGCATCCTGAGATCTTGTCTCAAATGTGCTCTCCCTGAGAAGTTAAATGATCATGGAAGGGAAACAGACTTTGGAAGAGGTGGGGACATGGCCTGTGACATCCTGCTGACCCCGTTCCCCTCGGTGGGCCTGGGTTTTAAGGAGTGTTCCAGTGCAAGCTGGAGTCAGCAGGAGCCTTTTCTTCCACAGTGTATTTGTTCCCAGGCTTCTGTTTGCTCCCTGTGAAAGTTATTCTGTTTTTCTTTCTTTGTTCAGGTGCTTAGCATTGCAAAAGAAGGTCTGCAGAGATTTCTGCTATCTCTAAAAGGAGTCTGGAGCAAATACAGAAGCTACAATAAATGTGTATTATTGCAAATATTGAAGAAGCCAATGTACCCCTTCTTAATAGATGTTATTTCTCATTCTTTGAACAAGTCCATTGGCGATGGAGGGCAGATAATCCACTTCTGGAATCTCTTTCTCCTTGTGTTGTTACATGATTTATAACATCACTGAAGGAACAGAATTTGCCACTACTGTCTCTGAAGGACTGCTGAATTCCCTTGTAGAGAAGACTCTGGGGAATTGGGTTTTGGGGCTCAAGACAGATTTTTTCATTTTGCTATGACTTTTCATTACTTCCTGCAAGTTCCATCCTAGACATCATTTTCCATCTCTGTTTTGCAGGTTTTCCAGCTCTGGGAAAGCGCTCTTGTTCTGTCTTTTCTAGCTATAATACATTGTGTTTGTTTGTGTATTTTTTTTGTTGTTGTTGTTGTTTTTTTTTGTTGTTTTTTTCAAATTTTTTTTTTTCCTTTTACTAAACCCCACTAGCTGCTCTGGTTGTTTCCTTAGTGTTTAATGGTTTGCCGAAAGACACAGTGTTTGCTGGTGCTGCTCAGCTGCAGACACAGTTAATGTCCCTGCTCAGCACTGACCCAGGGAAGGGAGCAGCGATGCTCAAGGACCTCCTGGTGCTTGCTGGTAACGCTGGCCTTGGGGAGGCCATCGCTAGCCCAAGCCACAGCTGGGCTTACCTTGACTTGTATGTGTGTTTAACTAAAACAGAAAGCTGGGAGGGGATAAGCAGAGAGCTCAGGGAAACACTTGTAAGGCCAAGGCAGAATAGGGTGAGATGAGGAACCAGAGGGAATGCTCCTCAGGTGCAATTCTTGCTGGAGGGGTGAATGTGGGGGGGTTTGAGCCAGCGGCTGACTATTGAAAAATGTGAGCAGATGATCAGGGAAGGACATGGAGCTGTTGGAACAAGTCCAGAGGAGGCCATGAAGATGCTCAGGGGGGGGCTGAAACAGCTCCCCTGGGAGGCTGGGCTGAGAGAGTTGGGGGGGTTCAGCCTGGAGAAGAGAAGGCTCTGGGGGGACCTTCGAGCAGCCTCCCAGGGCTTAAAGGGGGGACAGGAAAGGTGGGGAGGGACTCTGGATCAGGGGGTGGGGGTAGGATGAGGGGTGATGGTTTTAAACTGAAAGAGGGGAGATTTAGATGAGATATAAGGAATAAATTCTTCCCTGTGCGGGGGGTGAGGCGCTGGCCCAGGGTGCCCAGAGCAGCTGTGGGTGCCCCCTCCCTGGAAGGGTTCAAGGCCAGGTTGGACGGGGCTGGGAGCCCCCTGGGCTGGGGGAAGGGGGCCCTGCCCGGGGCAGGGGGGTGGCACTGGATCATCTTCATGGTCCTTTCCAACCCAAACCAGCCTATGACAAGAACTTTTGTGCTTTTTTGCATAAAGGTTTAACAGCAAATAACAATTGTACCTGCCTGTCACATCTATTTCTCACTCTACCAAACAGCTTGAGCCCGGTTTTATGATACTTGAAACAAATGGGCTCACCAATGGTAACGCACTGCTGGTGCCATCAGTTCTGATGAGTGGAGGATGTGTGTAGAAACCAGAGGTGTTTTCAGTGTTTATGGTGTGGGCAGTGGTGGGAGAAATGAGCTGTGTGTGCCTCTTGTTCGTGATTGCTGAATTTGTGTGATGATTCCAAAGAAAAAAAATTCGCCTGCCATCAGTGGTTGGGGTACAAATTTAGCTAATTAGCCTTCAGCATGGGGTTGGCAGGTGCCCATCATCCCAGGAGTGATGGTTGCATTTTTAAACCTTTGCTTCCTGGCCTCTCCAGCACATTCCGCGTCCCCTCCCTGCAGCCTTCCTCCCTCTCCTCTCCAGCCCAGGCGCTTGTGCCTGTGTGAGAAATGATTTCACATCTTGCAAAATTAATTCTCTGCTCATGATGGCCTTGATTAAACAGATTGGCAAACTCTGCTAAAGGTGGCAAAACAGCTCTGACATGCAGACATCTTCACCTCCTGAAAGGCAAAAAACTGTGGGCTGTTGCTATTATGAAGTGCAGGTGGCTGTGGGCTGTTTTCTGCGAAAGCAGCAAAAATTCTCCATGTTTAGGAACAGTGTCTGTAAAATTAACCTGGTTGAAACAATGGTAGATGTAATTATTGTCGTTTGAACTAGATTAGCTTGGAATAAGGTTTGTTCATCCACAACTGGATAGACCATATCGATGGTCTAGGAGCCTGGAGATAGATATACTGTAGGTATGTGGGGAAAGCTCAAGGTCTTGCCTGTGCCAACATATATCCATTAACCAAGCAGAGAACACACATGCCTGGGACCTAGCTGTGGTTCTTTATAACAAACTTCTGAAAATTTGCAGAAAAAAAAAAAAAAAATCCAAAAATATGCACAAAGCTCATTTTCAGACAAATTTTAGTTTATATGGATATTCTAATTATTTACCCAGTTAAAACATTTTTGTATATCTTGATTGAATCTTATTTTGCAGATATTCAGTGGGAAGTGGGGTTGACAAAAACGTTATTTGTACCATGGATATGTTTTTTGACTTATGTTTGTGCTCTGGACACTTGTAAATCCAGCATCTATTTGTGGGGTGTCACCTGCGGCTTTCATGCACACTTTCTGGGCAACCACTGCCTGGAAAAGGGGTTGCATCTTTGGCTTGTTCTTTTTTGGCTTTTGTTACCTTGCTGTAGGCATAGAAACCTTCAAGGAGAGGAGTTTGTTTTTCTAAGCAATAGGCTGGGAGATGTCCTTTTGGGTCACTCAGATGAAATCTTGGTCTTCCTTCTCAGCCTTGGTACATAGACTCCAGTGGACACGACAAAGACTTTTGATAAGGGAGAAATCTGGTCAGTCTCCTTCTCTTGAGATGACTCTCCCCCTCTCAACCCAAGGATCCTAAGAAGAGCAGAAGGTAAGATACCATGAGATGTTCTGGAAGGACAGATCTCTTCATGGTTGAATTAGGATTGAAGGTGAAATCATGCGAAACAGCAGGATTGGGACTGAAGGTGCAGCATGAACATCCTGGGCTCTTTCCTGTGCAAGAGGACAGGGCTGAACAGTGTGAAGATGATGGATGGATGGATGGATGGATGGATGGATGGATGGATGGATGGATGGATGAGAATTTTCGGAAGAGTTTTTGTCCCAGACACTAAACTTGTCTTGCTGTCAGTAGTTCAAGGTGGCAATCCTGACCCCCTTTTACAGCAGTCATTCCAAAACACTAGGCTGTGTCGAGTCAAAACAAGCACTGCAATAAGATAAATAGGTGAACATGCTGGTTTTGCTGCACTGAATTAACATAAAATGAGTATATGAAGGGCTGAGTGCATTTATTGGGGTGGGAGCCAGCAGAGAGGAACAGAGCTGAATTTGCAAACACTCTTTTTCCCGTAGACTCCTGGGCTGTCCAGCCGGGCTGTCTCACACTGATTTACTGCTGTCCTTCCTTCAGCCTTTGAAAATCAATCCATTAACAATTAAGGTAATGTCTAGCCTAGTATTTATTTCACACTCTCTCGTTAATGGACTGACAAAAAAGAAAAAACTTCTTCAAGCACTAGGACTGTTGTATTTCACAAGTGGGCTGTGTGTCTGGGTCATGCTTTTTCCCTTGTTCCCTCTTAGAGCTGAGACCTGCTCTTATGGAAGCATTCAGGAAAATTACCCCACATTACCATACCATATCATTACATTCCTTGTAAAGAAGGTGCAGCTTCTGTGCTAAATATCCCCAGCCAGCCATTAAAGCAGAACTGGAGTGGAAAGGGCTAGCCCTGAACGTGCCTGCTGGGCCCAAGCAGCTCTGCCTTGGGCTATCTGTGGGATCTGGAAGAGAAAGAAGCATTTACTGCCCAAAGAGCCCATTTTCCTTTTCTCCATCTCCTTCTGGGCAATAGCAGTGTGCCCCAAATTAGGTCTGACCCGCGTGTCTCTGCTTGTGTCCCCAAAACAAACTGCTGGGCAATGGCATCTTCAGGGGAACACTACAGATGCCCAGAGCCACTGGACCACGAGGCTCTAGTTCTCAGCAGTCAACCTGCCCCTGAGCTGGGATCAAGGTGGGGATGGACCCCAAAGACCTCTTTGGGATGGGGTGGGTGGCATACTTGGGGGGCTCTGTAGCTCTCAGGCACTGAATTTATCAGAGTCAGTGTCCCACAGCCAGATTGGGAACAGCAGGGACCTGTGGGGTCTGCATGGATTGCTCCACCCTAAGGTGATGAATGTACCACTGCAGCTTCTGGAAATAAATGTGCTACTCTAACTCCGATCCTAAGTGCAGGATGTTTCAGGTTACAAAAACGATCTTTAGCGAATGCCACTAGAAGAATACTAAATAATAACAATTTTCTTCCCCCTCAGTTCTCAGTCCTCCTTGTATTTTTGCCAGTTTCTAGGTCAAATCCCCCATTCTGCTTCTCCTGCGCTAGCACAGCGTTCAGGTTGCACAATTGCAGGGGAGGGAGGAATTTGCTTTCCGAAGCCCTGTCTCCCCAGTGCCCCCATCCTTCCCTTCCCTCCTTCCCAGTGCCTCTGGGTGGGTGGGAGCCCATTCTAGGTAGGCTGCGGGGCCCCTCCGCACCCCGGGGGGGTTGCGGCAGGGTTTGGGGGGGGGATGGTGCTGGACCCCCACTCCGGGGGTGGGACTGGGAGGGGGGGGGGGGGGCTGCCGGCAGCTCGGAGCGTCTGGGGGAGCGAAGGGAGGACGCTGCCCTTGAGCTCGCAGGTGTGGGCTTGCTTTCTGTCTGGTTATTTATTTATTTTTTTTTTTAACTTCCTCCCCCCCCTTTTTTTTTCTCCTTCCCCCCCCCCAGCTTTTCTCTTACGCAGTGGGAGAAGCCAAGCAGCCGGGGCTGGCTCTGCCCAGCCGCCGTCCGTCCTCCCTCCCTCCCTCTTCCCCATCCCTCCCTTTTCCTTAAAAACGTGGGCTCCGGGGTGCAGCCCCCTGCGCTGGCAGCATCCCTGCCTGCGAGGAGCAGCCCCTTACCACCGCGCCCCCCCCCCCCCCCCCCCCCCCCCCATCCGAAGCGGAGCCTGCAACCCGGCTTTGGTGTCCCCCCCGCCCCAGCCCGGGGGTGTCTGGATGCGGCCGCGGGGCAGGGAGCCGGGCTAGAGGCAAAACCCCCTCCCCAGGTAAGCACCCAAGGGGGGGTTTCTTTTAAATTCGGGGCTTTTCCCGCTGTTTCAGCGGGGTGGGGGCCATGGGGGTGCGTGTGATGCCCCAACAGTAGGTACAAGCCCCCAGCTCTGATGGGAGGCTGCAGCGGGTCTCGGATGGGGGGGGTGGGTGGGTGGGTGTGGGGGGATTTGGGGGCACAAAGCTGCGTGTTGGGGACTCACCGACCCGGCAGGTAGGAGCATCCAAGGCTTGGGAGGGATGGCGTTGTGCAGCCCGCACGTCCCCTGCGCCGGTGGTGTGGAGATATGCGAGAGCTCCCTGTGTGCTCAGGCTGCACCAAGCTCTCAGGGTTGCATCCCATTTAAAATGCTCCGGAGGGGAGGTTTTGGGGGGGGTGTGTGTGTGCTATTCTCTCCCCGGCAATAAATCATCCTGCTCCCCCAGCGTTTCTCACGCACATGCTTTGCTACGGTCCCACGCGACCCGATAGATCAGCGGATCTTCAAACTGTCTCTTTGCTGCCCCAGGTCCTTGCGCACAGGCTGGTGTTTCAGGATGGACCCGCTCTTCCCTGCCCATATTTTGGAAGACCCTGACCTGAGGAAGCTGCTGAACGACTCCTCCATGCTGAACCTGAGCTTTCTCCCCAGTAACTGGTTCAACAACAGCACGGGGGACAGCTTCCTGCCGCTGAGCATCAAGATCACCATCGTGGTTGTCTACTCCATTGTGTGCATCGTGGGGCTGGTGGGCAACTGCTCCGTCATGTATGTGATCGTCAGGTAGGACACGCAGGCAGCACGCCAGGGAGGCTCTGGGAGGAGGGGGGCTGTGAGTGGGGCAGACCTTCCCCCCCTAAATCCCTGCAGGGTGAAGCAGGCAGGGGCTTCCCTGGGCATTGCGACGTGCTTTAGAGGTAACAGTGTGGCATTCGGTTTATTGTTTTGGTTTTATTTTTATTTTTATTTTTTTTTTCCCTTCCTAGGCTGTGATGAAGGTTCCCACCAGCTTTCAGCTGCCCTCTGGTGCCTCCTAAAGTTTAACCCAGAGAATGGAACAGAGTGATCAGATCTGCTCCAAAAAAAAAAAAAAAAAAAAGGGGGGGAGGCTTTTCTACAAACTGTCGGGTAGGGAGCTGGATGTCCCTGGGGAGGGCAAAGTGCTGGGAGCATCCTGCTGCTGGGGCGTGCCTGATCTTTAACAGGACCTCTGCCTCCTGTGCTGTGTCCAGCACCCCAGCTGTGACTGCAGGTGCTGCTCCATCTGGGAGCTGGTGCTTTCCAAGGCTGAACCTAGTTGCATGGGAAAGGGCCTGCTGGGAGGCTCAGTCTTACAGGAGGGGGGAAAAAAAAAAAATAAAAAAAAAAAAATCATCACAAATATAGCTCTTCCATCTCTTTGGAAATTATAGGCATGAATAAGGTGTGACAGGATGCTGCAGAGATGAGGGCAACTTCTCTGGCTCCTCACACTGAAGTTGGGAGAGCAGGGGGGGACCCTTGCAGGGGGACGGAGCACTGAGCAGGCACTGCCCAGTCTCCCTGCACATTGCTGGCATTTTAGGTGTCCCCATCTGGTTCTGCTGTGGTTCAAACCCTGCTATTTCCTAGACTCAGAAACCCTGTTCCCCCCTGTACGTACAAAATAAGTTTATCAACCGTTAGGGCTGTAATTCTGTGTCAAAAGCCCGCAACCCCCTTCTGATCTCTGTACCCTGTATGTTAAGGAGTGAGCTTCCATTTCATGCACATCCCAGAGCAGATTCTTGATGCAGGTGGGTGCTGCCAGCAAAGAAAAGACGGGGTGAGTTTGTTTTCTCCTCCAACAGAGGATGAAAATATTTAGTAGGTATTCAGACACTGATGAGATTAAGTCTTGCTCCTGCCAGGAGCCCTGCTGCTTCCACAGCATCTTTCCCTAAAACACACACAACTCTGCTAGGGGAGACACTGCAAAATTAAGTCCCAGGCTGATGAACAGCACCTGAATCTCTGCTAGAAGGGCGAAGTGACATGGCTTTTCACCAGGCCGCCTGCCCGAGGAGTTCGTGGCCGGGGGAAGGGATCGCGTTAGCCCTGCGGAGTCTGGAGACGGAGAGAGGAGGTTTGCAGTGCAGCAGTGCCGCGTTGGGAGAGCTCGTGTTTCTGTTCAGTGTAGTAGCAGTGACTGGAGTAGGCACGGTGTTTGTGGGTGCGCGTAAGCGTGGCGAGCAGTGAGTCTCTGCCAGTGAGAAGTCTCTGTCCCACGGCGATGCAGCTCCCCGGGAGCGGCCGAGCCGGTGTGCAGGCAGGGGAAGGGAGTCCTCGCCCCATGCGTGAACCTTAGACGTGTCAGAAGGAGAAGAATTGGCAGAAATCTTCTCCCTGTCTGCGAAGGTCTCGTGGGATGTGGACAGCAGGACCAGGGCTGGGGCTGGTGTATCACCAAGAATATGAATGTCCCACACCAGCGTCCTGGTCAGGGTGGACGTGTGCCCTGGCTATGAAGGACCATGCTTTTAAAATGGTGGCTTCTGTTCCATTCCTTTCTGGCTTCTTTGATACCTTCCAGCTGGATAAATGGGACCCAAGAAAAGAAAGTGGGAGTGGGATTTAGCACTGTGATTTTCCTTGGAAAGTAACTTTTTTTTTTTTTTTTTTTTTTTGTGTGTCCTCTGGTTTTAAGCAATTGAAAACTGAAGACAGGGGTCATCCTCATCTCCCTCAGGCCTTTCCCATTTCTTCCATTTCCCCTTTATCCAGGAACCCCTGTACATACAAAAAAGCCAACAGAAATTTGAATTATTTGGGTACTCCTTTTTGGGGATTCACCTCTGTTTTTCAGAAAAAAACCCAAAACACCTCTGTGAGCCTGGAGGGCCCCCTTGAATAATGTGTGCTGGGGAAGTAATAACTGAGCTAGAGCATGTATAGAAGAAGCTGCTCTTTTGCCCTGGTTGTCCCCATCAGTGTCTCCTGGGAGCTCAGTACTGAGCTGAGACTAACACTGTTATACCCAGGGAGGTGACCCTTCTTGGTTCGGTGAGTAACTACAACTTTTGGTTATCTCTGCCCAGGATTTTTCTCTCCTTGCTCTTTCTGTTCAGGTCAGGAGCAGGTGTGGGGATAAACTGGAGTCAATATCTCACACTCTTGACCCTGGTAATGCATGCAGATTCATGCAGAGCTGCCAAATTAGTGGCCGTGCAAGGAGGATGTTGATGACTTCGCAAGCACAGCTTTTTCTCCCCAGACTGGAGCATTGGTACTTCTGGGCTTCATGCATTAAATAGAATCTTTTTTCAGTAGGTTGAAAGTTGGTTGCTGGTAAGTCAACATGGGGTTTTGGGACTCTTAATGTTGTATCTCTTCCATTAATGGAAAAAAGACTGACAAACCCACTGTGCTGCACCCCTATCATCTTTGGGTATGGTGCATCCTACAAAAGCTATTTTTTTTTTTTTTTTCATTTCCATGTTTATATTTCACCAGGGATAAGCAGACTTCAGCATGTCACACAACCTATAAGAAACCAGACTATTATCTTCCACAAAAAAGAATGGTACGGTGACGTAGACAGTAATTGTTTCCTGTTTTTGAGGGAGTTGAGAAATACAAAGACTCTAATATCAGCACTCGAGGAAATTGGAGGCATCAGGAAGGCTTGTTTTTTGTTCCTCTTGAATGAGTTTTTTGCAGTGCCAAGGGAAAAGTTTAAGATCTTCCGGTATGTCACACAAAAATACAAATTCAAAGCCACCTCTGGGTTTTCCCCTCTCTTGTAGAACTCAGCCCACATCTCTATTATACTTGGAGTGATTTAACATTTGGGACGATTAATTTATTGAGACAGTCATCATGTGACTAGCAATCCCCTTCTAATGCTGAGCAGCACTAATTGGATAAGACTGAGAAGGGCTCTCATCAGGAACAGGATTTCCTGGACAGTAAAGGGCCTATTGTGGAAACCTGCCTTGTCTGTGGCTTTGTTCTGCTTGCTCATTGTGGCGATAATGCCTCCCCTCCCTCCTTCTCCTTCTGCTGTTTGCTCTCTTCTGCATATATTTCCTGTACTGCTTTTTAATGAATGTGAAACCAGGAGTTGAACAGCACGAGGCAGGGAGAGTGGGGGGAGCCAGGGTGCTGAGGTCCCTCTTAACTCGGTGCTCCAGGGCTGGATGCTCAAGAGCTTTCTTTTTTAGGAAGAAATGTGAAGGGGATGTATTGTTCTTGCAGTGGCCGTGGGGGTGGATGACCCGTGGGGCTGGAGGTGATGCTGACCCTGCTGCACAGGGTTTGACCGAGACACCCCCCCCCCCCCCCCCCCAAGCCACCACCGGTGGGTCAGGGAAGGGACCAGGGATGGCATGCAGCTTCTGGTCCAGGGAGTCCTCTGTCCCCCCCCGCCCCCAGCTCCATCCTGCTCCTATGGTGCTCAGCAGTGATGATCTGGAGGACCCTCTTCCTCAGTGTTGTCTCTGCTCGCCTGGATCAGGCCCCCGTGGGAATGGTGCCTCGCTTCTCCTCTTTCCCATGGCAGCTCTCCCTTGCGAGCCGAGCAAAGTATTGGGGATGCTTGGCTCTCCCTGTTTGAAGAACACTGTTTCAGAGCATTTTAAGCAGCTGTTTAGGCAGATTAGGGCTGTTGGGCCCCTACGCTTCCATTTGTTGCTTCCAGGTGAAGCTTCAAGAGGAGGGATGTGATGGGGGCGGCTGCCTGGGGATGGCTGTGCCACCCGTTATCCTGCTTGAAAACTCCATCAATCCCTGAGAAACAGGGGTGAGGGCAGCTGGGTGTGATGAGACAGGGAAAATTAAGATAATTCTGACATTGCAAAGATGGCGATTTCTTAATAGAAAGCTTTTTAAGGGAAGAGCCTCGACCAGCTGTGTGTGTCAGAGCTGAAATCGAGGGAGTGCTTAATGTGGTGTGAACACAGTGGACACCAGTGGGGCCATCTGAGACCTCAGCTCTCTCCAGGTTAGCCTCATTTGGTTTTTCCTGGTGAAAAAAAAAACAAACCAGTTGCGATTTGTAGAGAAGGGAAACCCATATCGAGGGCTCTGTGCTGTGGAGGGTGATTGGAGCTGGGGGAGGATGGCAAAGTGAGCAGGAGGGGGACCTGCTGCAAAAGGCAGGTCTGCAGCTCCCCACTTTCCAGGCCCCCACGAGCCCGGGTGAGCTGGGCTCAGCCACATGGCTCATAACAGCTATGTGTGGCCCCTGATAACAAAGCTCCTGCACTTCCAGTGTGTGCTGGAGGGCTCCTGGATTCACCTGGCTTCAGTGGCATGACTAGAAAGGAATCATCCGTGTGCAGCAGTAATTCTGTGATGTTTAATGTGGGACTTGGTTGCCTATGCTTTTCCAGGGACTGGGCAATTCCCAACAGCGTTTAGGGCACGAGCAGCTCAGCAGAGGCAGATCCAGCCCCGGGCCAGGGGTGAGAGCAGCTTGCTGCAGGATGGGTGCTGGCAAACACTTTCCTTAAACTGAAGCACCATTCCTGGTGGCCATGCATCTGCTCGGGGTTGCATGAGCATCCCCACAAGTCGCAGAGGCTTTTGCAGCAGCGGCCACCCAGCCTCTGCCCTCGGCATGGCAGCGGTCGGGGGCCAAGCAATGTCCCTGTTCGTGCTGGTTGCCAGAGAGGACTCTGAGGAGGGAGGGCACCAGCATCACCCAGACACTGCAGCGAAGCTCAAAGGGCAAGAAAATAATCTGTTCCACAGCACTGCCGCTCACCCTGGCTGGCGACAGATTCCTTAACCTCTGCTAGTCAGTCACTGTCCTGCCAGGTAATTAATAGGCTTTTACATGTCAACATTGCTGGCTGCTTTGCTTTAGCATCTGGCTTCATAGTCCAAAGTGATTTAAAACTGTCCTTATTAATGTGGTTTTTTTTTTTTTTTTTTTTTTTTTGCGTGTGGCCTGTTGAGCTATTAAGAATAAACTGGCTTGAATTAGGTAATTTCAGGATGAGTGGAGTGCTGGAAAGGTGATCAGAGCGGCAGGGACTTGGGAAGCAGAGTGTGGGTGTATGGCTGGGAGGACACAAACCACAATGGTACGTGCTAGATCAAATATCAGCTTCATATAAACTATGGATGAAGACCTGGTTGGGAGCAGAGATGTCAGTGAACTGGTGCTGATTTCCACCTTCAGAGGATGGGAGCATCTCAGCAAAAAATCCTCCTTAAGCCTTTTCTGTTCTGTTTTGCTTCCCTGTGCGTGTCTGGGGAGGGCAGCAAAGGCTGTCGCTGATGCCAGGGTTGGGGTGGGAACGGAGGGAGCTGCTCAAGGTGAACAGCACTGTCTGCATCCTGATTAGCTGGAGCTGTGGATATCAAAATCAAGAGGCAGATTGCTCCTGGAGGTAATGCTCATGGCTCCCCAGGGCTGAAGGCTTTGCTCCGATTCCTCTGCCCCTTGCGTCTCAGCCCCGTTTTGGGTTGTAGGTTTGTTGCAGTGGCTGCTCCTTGGTCCTGGGGCACCCGGAGCTGCTGGCTGCCCTGCAGCCTCGCCTTGGCTGCGTGGAAAGGAGGGAGTGATGCTGAAACAACAGGTTGGCAGCTCACCCTGAGGCTCAACCAGGGGCAGAATCTGCCCTTGTGAAAAAAAAAAAAAAAAAAACCAGGACCTCAGAACCCAGTATGTGGAAGAGCTGTTTCCTACCCATCCCCTCCTCTCCCACACTGTGAGTTCCTCTCGCTGAAGCACAGCTTTGTTCCAGGTAACGCTGCTTGAGGTCCCCTTAGCAAAAAGGAGGGGGAAGCTGAGTGCTGAGCTGATACCCAGGCGTTTTTCCTCTTAGGCTTCAGCAGGCGGGAGGACAGAAGAGCAGAGTGATTACTTTTGTGACAAAGGTGGAGCTGGATGGAGAGCTGAGAACTGCCCTGTGGGAGATGCTCCATTAGGAAATTGCCTCCGTGACTGAGTGCAAGAAAGTGGCTCAGTGGGGAGCTAATGTCCTCTGTGGAGGTCACAGGCTTATTGGAATTGGAGCTGTGCTCTGGGGGGGACCTTAGGTACCTCCTAACACTCAAGAGTTTAATTTGTCTCTTTTGTGCAGATTAAGAAAGAGAACGCTTTCAGTTCCCGGAGGAAAACAAAAAGAGGTTAATCCACAAAGTGATTAATTGATTTTTTTGTTTGTACTGAACATTCTGGAAATGTTTGGGAACATTGGCTGGTTGGGATAATGGCTGTTGGCTCTCAGTGTGCAGAGAAAACAGAGCTAGAAGTAATTATTTAGGTGCGAATTAATTTCCCCACCTTTCAAGAGCACAAAATCAGCCTTAAAATCCCCTTGAAGGTGGGTTGAAGGAGGTAAGTGGTGGGACAGCATGTCCCCACATCAGAGGGAGCGAGGAAAGGTGGCTCTGCCGTCACCTCGAGGAGGTGGTAAGGAAAGAGGCAGCAGAGAAGGATTTGTGTATCGAGGGGGAGTGGATTTTGCAGGGCCAGGCTGAGCAATTGCACCTGGGCTCTGGACTCTTGCTGATAAGTGTCTTGGAGGAGAGGGGCCGGTGGGGTCTCCTGGGGTGGAGGGGGGTGGGAGGGAGCTGAAGGTTTGCGTTCTGCACACCCCAAGCTCAGGGTTAGCTGAGATGCCCCAAACTTCTCACTGTGTTGGGGACGGGGGTGTGTACAGAATCAACGTTGTCCCCCATGGATGCTGGATGGGTGGTAGAGGTGGGTGGATTGCTGCTTGTTTCTCCCACTGGCCAATATAAAAAAAAAAAAAACAACAAGCAAACAAACAAACAAAAACAAAACAAAAAAACTGAACAACCTTTATTTTTTACTGTTTCACAGTAAAGTTGCTCATCATTGTTCAAAACCACAATTGTTATTCCCTCAAGTTATAATATCAGTGAAAGGAGTCAGGGTTAAAGGCATGTTGATGAATTGCCTCCAAGTCCAGTCCTACTGAAGGATGGACTGGAACAACCTTGACCTTTGGGAAGCTGGAGCAAACCCAGCCAGGTCTGTGGTGTGCAGAGAAAGACTACAGCTCCCAGGAGACCTTTGCTGCTGCAGTCTTAGGTGACTCTATAATTTCCTGAAGCCTGAGCTGACAATACTAGTTTTTGTGGGGGCTGATAAACAACAGTGATTTCATTTCTTAATTTTAATTCCCCTCCTCGCTGACCTAGAGGGGAAAGTGTCTGAATCCATCCACAGACCCATCTCATGCTCCCTGTGTGCATTGCCTTGTTTATGCCAACTGCAAGAATTTAAACAAAAAAAGCAAAACTCACCCACCCTGAGATGCGGCTGCTCTGGGGTCCACAGCACTGGAGTCTTATCTATTTCTGTGTAATTCTGCTTAGGAAGTCCCAAAGCTTTAAAGCCCTGGCAGCTGCCTGGTTGTGTTAGATTTGCTTGTTCATCCCTTCACAATAGGAAAGACGCTGGGATTTTTCATCTACTGCTTTTGCTTATATAAATTTATCCGATCTGGGCTGGCTTTCTAAGAACCCACTGTCTGGCTTGGCTGCTGTGATTTCTGGGCCAGAAGGAGCCTGACTCAGGCTTATGTGGGGACCTCAAGTGTTTCCATCAATGCTGACCTCTGAAAGCTTCCCTTGGCTTTCAAAGTCAAATGTAAGAGCATTTATTCTCGTTTTCTGAAGCCACTTTTGAACATCTGATTTCTAATACAAGCACAGCTTAGATGCTGAAGAGGGGTGCAAAATCGACTTTATATTCTGGATTGTGGATCTCCTGGTTATTAGTCTTGCAAACCTGGCTATGTCACCATGAGTCTAAATCGAGTTCAGAGCATGGCAGTGATAATGCTCCTCCAAGCATCTAAATAATCTATCAAGAGCTGAAGTTCAGATCATCAGGGGAGGGTACAGTGCTGAGGAGTGCAGTTGTGGGTTTGCTGTTCTGAATCAATTTGACAAAAAGAGTTTTTGGGTCAAATCAGACCCCATAATATTCCAAACTGAAAATAGTGCAGTAGTTTATGGGTTTAAGTGTTACCCTCAGATGAACTTGCCCTCTGTTAATAACACCCATCATTGTCTGCCATTTCTGGCAACATTTCTGCAAAGGCTATTAGTATAATAAAAGATAAATGAGCTGTAGTTTTAAAATTATACCTATTTGAGCTCTTATTTTGCCCATGAGAGAGGCATCCTGGAGCTGAAATGTTAGATTCAGTCACAGAGTTACCATCGAGTTTCCATTTCTGCAGACCGTGTGCATCCTTGGGTAGGTGATCACATCTTTCTTTGCATCATTTCCCATGTGTAAAATGGAGTTGATTACTGTTAGAACAAGGCGAATCTTTTGGGGCAGTCAGTTCATGTGATAAAAGTAATATAAAAATTATAAAAGTCCTTTGAAGTAGGGTTGACTCATGACTTTATCTGCAAACTATTCCTTTCTTTAGAAAGATCCATTGTGATATTTTGATTTCTGATGTAAACCTCGTTCCTAACCAGTTTTTAGCTGCCACTGGCCAGGTCTGGCCATCTTGCCTATTCTGATTTGTTGGCTCACATTAGCCATAGTCTTTGGCTATGAGCCCATACAAAATGGCTAATCAACTTACCACTGAACCATATGATGCCTTTTGAATCAGCTTACTGGGTAAAGCTCTCACCAATATTTGTGATAATGAAGCCATATGTGATGAAATCCTAGATTAGCCTTACTGAAGTCATTTTCCAAAAAGCACAGTTTGAGTTGACAGCCTCAGGCTTTCATGGTCCTCCCTTGCAGTCCAAGGGAATGATCTTCTCCTGCCCATGAAACTGATGGTGAAGGCACCATTTGTGGTGGTGTAGGAGCTGGGTTGAGCTTTGTGTTGATGAGCATGTGGGAGGTAGGAAGGAAAGGGTCGTGTTCTGCCTCTTGCTACACAAGAAAAAACACAGCATCTCCTTCCTGAAGTGACAGAATGCCCTCCTCAGCAGACTTCAATGTCTTACCCATCATGATCAGGTGGTGGTCTAACCATTGCTCATTCCTACCTTTCAGATTCACCAAGATGAAGACAGCAACCAACATTTACATCTTTAACCTTGCCCTGGCTGATACCTTGTGTCTGATGACCTTACCCTTCCAGGGTACGGACACGTTCCTGGGCTTCTGGCCCTTTGGCAACGTCCTCTGCAAGATTGCCATCTCTATAGACTACTACAACATGTTCACAAGCACCTTCACTCTGACGATGATGAGTGTGGACCGCTACATTGCTATCTGCCACCCTATCAAGGCACTGGACATCCGCACTCCCCACAAGGCCAAAGTGGTGAATGTCTGCATCTGGGCACTGGCTTCTGTCTTCGGCATCCCAGCAATGGTGATGGGATCTGCAGAGAATGAGAACAACGGTCAGTACAAATGCATCCAGTGGGTGGGAGGTGCTGGTGGCCAGGAGAGCCCATGGGCTTGGGGAGCTGTTGGAGAGGGGTTCCAGTTTCATCAGTGTGGTGAGCTCTCTGCTGTAAATTCATCTCAATTCTTTCCTTTCTGCCCTTGCCTCTGCATCACTGCCACTGTTTACAGTATTAAACATACTTAAAATAAAAGTGCAGATGCTTTTCTTGATCCAGGTTTGCTGATCTTCCTTTCCTCTCTATGTTTTCACTTGTAGAAATTGATTGTCTAATTAAACTTCCTTCACCCGTGGATTACTGGGATCCAGTGTTTGGCATCTGTGTCTTTCTCTTCTCCTTTATGATCCCTGTGTTGATCATCACCATTTGCTACAGTCTCATGATCAGACGACTCAAGAACGTCCGTGTCCTCTCAGGCTCCAAGGAGAAGGACCGAAACCTGAGGCGCATCACCCGAATGGTCCTGGTGGTGGTGGCAGTCTTCATCATTTGCTGGACTCCCATCCAGATTTTTGTGCTGGTCCAGTGCTTGGGTGCCAAGGCAGAAAGCGAGCTCGAGCTGGCCATCTCCTGCTTCTGCACCGCGCTGGGGTATGCCAACAGCAGCTTGAACCCCGTGCTCTATGCCTTCTTAGATGAGAACTTCAAAGCGTGCTTCAAGAAGTTCTGCTTCCCCACTGCCTTCAGAACCGAGCTCCAAATGTCCAACAGGATGTGCAGCATCGCCAAGGATGTGGCCTATGCCTGCAAGAACTCAGAGGGGACTAACAATCCGGCCTGACTAGGCATGGAAATTCCCATGGTGGCTGTCGCCCAGCAGAGTCCAACCACCCCCACGTCAGAGCTAACTCAGATAACGGCTCTTTAGCAGGACCTCAAAACTGAGAGGTGAGAAACCAAGGAAACAAATCTGGGGGTTGGGAAAACCGGATACTGCAAGAGCATGCAGAAAAAGTGAGCCCATTTGATGCTTCTTTAATTCCCGTGCACACTACACTAAGGGATGCGTTTGAAATCAGCCCTTTGATTCCTGTGAACCCCTGGTGGTTTGCAACACTATTGAGGAATTAAGGGTTTAAAACGGGCATTGCTCTTAGCACTTACACTTTTGCTGTTGGGAGACGCAAAATGCAAACTATTCTATTTCTTTTTTCCCTCCCTGAGTTGTTTAAGATACTAACAGCTCATGTGGCTCACCAGACACTCATGTGTGGGTTTTATTCCTGTGGCATCACTCTGAAATTAGACTTTGCTGAAGCCAAAATGGGCAGCAGCCATCAGACGAAACCCAAGATCATCTCCTGGATGAGTCATCACGAAGGGAAGGATGCAGGGAGGGAGAGGAGGGAGATGGTGGAAAGGGAAATTCAAACTGCCCCGTGGCCAGGAGCCTGGAGAGGACAACATCAGCTCCCGCAGCCGGGGTCTGCGGTAAAACCCTCCGCCTCGAGACGGGAGCAGGGTGATGAGAAGGGACTGTCAAAACTGATGAATGTAGCTCAGAAGAGGAAGAAGAAAAGATGGATGAAGGAATACAAATCCTTGTCTACATGCTGCTATTGTTTTTTTCTAAAACCTGTATTTCCATTGTAATAATGAACAAAATGTGTCTGTATATACACATCTCTATAGTGCTAGAGGTACAGCTATAGTGTAGGATTTCATCTTGCCAAGCATGCCTTGGGGATCTCCCTCTGCGAGAGGAGGGAGGAATGAAGTGGCCTATGTATACATATATTTATGTATTAGGGAAAGCCATTTTGCAGAAATCAGAATGGCAGCTCCTCCAGAAGACATGACATTTCTGGCAGGAGAGGCAGCCTAAAAGTCCCACCTGCTCCACCCGAGAGAAGTGGTGCGCAAACAATACAAAAGGTGGCCGTGTGTTTGTTTTGTTGTTTGTTTGTTTTCCAAAATATGAGATCTGCAATACTGAGAGCACTTGGGAAATGCCGCCAAGGTAGCACCTCTCTTGCCAACCATAGACTGATTTTTCCTCTCCTACTAGGCCAGAGCTTTGTGTAAAATGAAATGTCCCATCATTTCATTTGATAATGAAAGTATTCCCAAAGAATTTAGCCACTGAGTTGGACATTTGCCCTCTGTGCTGGTGGTGACAGCAGACTTGTATTCTCCCTGTAGCACAACAGCCTGGGGAAATCTGGGCAGCCGTGTCCAGTGGTGCTGGTGGGGAAGCAAAGCAACGACCTCCGTTTGGAGATGGAAGGTCAACTCCAATGTGAGAACCGGCAGCCTTGCCTGGACTGTACAGATTTCATGTGAATATATTTCTTGTGCTGTGGTCTATGAGTCTGTATTTTTAATGTTTTGATTTGCCAATCTTTTAATGCTGTCATGTTCTTTATATATGCTGTATAAAAGAATCCTATGTTATATTTCTATGTAGAGCATTTCCCTTATGGTTGGGCTTAAAAAAAAAAAATGCAATTCCAGTGTCCCAGATATAGGACCCAGATCCCTTCTAAACTGCTCAAGCTGGGAAGGTTTTCATGCTGATTAGCTTTTGCTTGGGAATCTTGATGGATACCAGAGCAAACTTTGCAATTAGTGCTTCCCCTGAATAATGTAAGGGGAGGAGGAAACCTGGGCACTTCAAGCACTTTGCAATGGCTGTTTATCCCCAAACCCTCACCAGGAAATCTCTCACGACCCCCAAGCATGCTCAGAAGAACTCCATGAGAACCATGCTGCTGGCAAGCTGCAACCATGCCCTTGAAGAAATGAGTTTGGTGGGCTGTTGTGTTTGTAGATGTGATGACAGTGTTGGTCAGTGAGCAACCTCGAGCCTTTGCAGCCCATCAGCTGTTGTACAGTCTGGCGGGGCCCTGGGTACGGTTGTGTGTGAAGCTGGGGACTGATGGCCAGGCTTTTCTTGCAGTGCCATTAGGGAGCAGGGGAATGTTCGTTAGTAGCTGGCTAAGGAACTGCTGCCCTCCCTTTGTAGTTCTTGGATGGGTTTTTAAATAGATTTATGTCCTCTGGAAAAATATACCTGTGTTTGGCATTTTTTTTAATAAGGATTTTGTTATAATGACTATGCTGCAATGATCTTACATAATCAAGTACTCAATACACGTGTGTTTCCTAAGCTTTTGGGTAATCCCGTGGCCCTTGCAGTGAATGTGTTTAGGCATTCTGTTCAATGCTCAGTGGAGTTTGTTATAAGAAGAGCAACAAAAACCTGAAAGCAAAAGCTTTATTGTACTGTGCCTATGGAATTAAAGGCTTGTGATCGGCCAGCCAGCTGAAGCGCGGGCTCTCGAATTCTCTTCTGAAATGGTTGTGTTGATATGATTTTACAATTACTGCAGTGTAAATGACAGTTTCCTAGGTGGCTACTTGTGCGCTTTAATAAAGGAAAATAAACCTCCCCTGTACTTTGAATGTTGTGAAGTCTGAAAGACTTAGCTGCGTGGGCCGGGGTGTTATTTCAACGCCAGTGCTGCTGGGGTCTTTGCACATGGACTTATTTTTCCAGCTAAACCCACTGCTGAGCACACGCAGTAACACCGAAGCATCCGATCCCGTTTTACTGAGGTCAGTGGGAGCTTTTGTTACGCAGGTAACCTGGAAAGAAAAGATGTGAAAATGCTAGAAAATCAGTGGTTGGGGATGAGGGTGAGGTGCCTGCACTCTGCCAGCCCTGGGTCTCGCAACAGGCAGCTCGGGTGCGGGCAGCTGCCTGCAGTTAGAGGGGAAGTCTGATGCAGGACTAAAACGAGCTCTTCCCTCATACTCTTCCCCACACCTCCTGGGAGTTACGGGGTTAGGCACGATCGTGGAGAACACTGAATTACAGAACTGCTCTGAAATATAAACCGAAGGAATATTCTGTAGCCAGAAAAAAACAGATTAGCCAGTGAGGTGTGCAAAAGGAAAGGGCCTTCTCTCTGCTCAGAGATCAATATCCCCACCCAGGCAGGTAAATATCAGGACAGCTTATTTTAATTAGCAGGGTGATTTCTTTTTTTTTTTTTTTCTTTTTTTTTTTTTTCTTAAAGAGAAAGAAAATTGGTAGGAAAAAAAATGGAAATCTTTATGTTTTTTCTAGTTCAGCTAATTATAAATATAATAAAGTACCCAGGGGTGAGTTCTTATAGCAAAGCCATAAACCACAGTGTTTTATTCAGTACTATGGGATTTATTAATGTATTAAGTGTTCTCTCTGCTGCTGCTGGCTGGAGTCAGCTACTGGAAAGGCTCAGGAATGGGTGAGCTGAGGGCTGAGCTCTCCCCTCGGGTGCTCCTCAGCTCATGGCGCTGGCACATCTGGGAGGATCTCTGGCTTTGGAAGGATGCTTTGCTCTGCTGGTGCCACATAGCCTTTTCTTTCCCCCTGCCCAGGTGGTTCAACCAATGACTTTCCCCCCAGCATGAATCAAAATTTCTAAAAGCAGAAATAAGGTGCAGAATTTACCCCTTTGCCAAAGATTGGATGGTTTTATGCCATGGGAAGAACTTACCCAGGGAGGTGCTGGGTTAACCTTTGCCGAGCTACAGGTCAGACTGAGGGTCGTTGGTTCAAGTGAGTATTCAGTTGGAATCACCCTCCTCGTGCTCACTGCCTGTAGGAGCCACAAAGCCTTTCACCTGCTCCGTGTGCCTCTGGCCCCTGGTGCCAAAGGCAATTTTAACAGGTGGAGGAATCCCAACAACAGAAAGACAAAAGCTGCATTTGCCTCACCTGGTGCCCATTGCTCTGCAGCTCGGGGCTTGCTCTGATGAAGGCACTACCTGATGCTGAGGAGTTGCCATGTCTTTTTTTTCCAAGATGTTTTCGTGATGAACTAGACAGTAGATATGTATTTTATTTTTTTTTTCCCTTCCTTTTTTTTTTTTTTTTTTTTTTCCTTCAGAGGAAGATTTTTTCACTCCTTAAACAGCGACTAGACTCTGATCTCTCTCTGGGTACTTTGGGTTATCATTGCTGGGTAGGACAATGTGTGCCTGGAGAGGGATGCCTCTCACCTTGCAACGCTTTATATAGAAGATGGGTTGTCTCCATAGCTATAGCCTCTTTATTTAAATGAAAAGGATCTCCAGAAGCGGCTGGTTCCTATCTGCTCAGAAGAGGGACTCTTAGACTGGCAGCAAAGCAGACTCTGCCAGAAAACCTCCTGTTTGCTTTCCCACTCATTTCCCTGTGCTTTCCTTCAGCTATTTTTGTGGCTATTTATGCATAAGCAAATTTCTCCTTCCTTCAACAGGGAGCACCTCCTTTGGACAGATCCTGAGCTGTAGCCCTGATTGTGCATTCATGGCTTCACACCGTGTTTCCATGTGAATCTCTGGCAGCAGAGCTTCATTGCTGTGACTTTGCAGAATCAGCCAGTAATTCATATCCCTGATCGTCACCTCCTAAGCCCTGCCCAGGGCTGTCTGAAGCACCAGTTCTTACTCCCTGGCTTTCTCCTATGTTGAGGAAAACCACAAAGCTGAGATGGGAGTGTGACAGAAGGGAAAACCGTCTCAGCTTTGTGGTGAGAAAGGCTTGTGAGGTGGTGAGGCTGCAAAAAGGGAGAGAAAATGGAAGGTGGACCTGAAGTTTCAGCATCAGCCCACAACCCGAGTCAGGGGTGCTGCGTGAGGAACAGAGATGGACTGTAAGAAAGCAGAGAATATGCAGTGGGATGCCAATGAGTGTCTGGCACAGGGTTTTTTTTGGCAGATGGCGGTGTGATATTACCGGATCTGTAGCTGATCCTTGCCACGGCTGAGCTGATGCACATCTATTTTGAGTGACCCACAGTGGCCACATGCACCTGCCCTCTTGCCCATTTAGACTGGGGCTACGTGCCACCTCTGCTCAAAAACACATGATAACACAAGCGTTAAGTTCATAACTCACTTTGAAAGAAGGAATTTTAGGATTTTTCCAAGCAAAGGGATTGATATTGAGGCGGGTGCACTTTAGATCAAAGAACCCTACTTTCACAAACTCCCTTTGTTCCTTTTTTTCAGTACCCTGAAGCCTGGATAAATTGCGTGACAGAATGAAATAATCAATAAATAGAGCTACATGGTTATGTATCTTGGCAACGATGATGCTAATCAACTATGTAAACTGACTTTGCTCTCTCTCTCCCTTAATGCAGTGAAATCCCAGCTGGCTGCAGAAAAGGAGTGATGCTGGCTCATTGCAGTGCTGGGGGACACAGCTCTTTCCCCCTCCTGCCACCTCTCTTATGACATACAAGGTTTCTGCTTCAGCAACCCAAAATCTTGCTAAATTCTTTCTGGGGTAGAAAATGCATAATAATATCCAGCACCAGCTGGGATCACCTTCACCGCCCACAGGAGAACATCTCTCGTTTTCAGATTCTTGGGGATTTGGTCCTCCCGTGGTTATGCTGCTGGAAGGGTCTCCAGGAGCAAACCCCATCCCTCTGTGCTGACACGTGGCATCGCTTGGGATCTTCCTGAGTAATGAGCAGGTTGGATCATTTGTGGGTCTGTACAGCACGGTGTTATACATGACCTTGACTCTTGTTCTTGCTTTGCTCTCAAATCCTTGTGCCTTTTGCAGTATATAGGCGCTGTGTGGGAAATCCTGTCTGCAGAGCCTGTGCATTACTGGGAGGACTTGTAACCTATGCAACCAGCCCACTCTTGTAGCAAAAGGTATTTTTTCCTCCAGTATATGTTATTGCATGAAGCTCCAGTGTGGATGGAGTCTTCCAGCTTGCCTGCAGTGGTCAGGGAAAGCATCCACTGCTTCCATCCCCTCCGGGCCTGCAGCCAGGCAGGATGGGCTGGAGCCAAGAGCTGAGCAGCACCAGCCCTGCCAAACAGCAGATTTTCAGCATAGTGAAGTGAAGGATGAATCTGCAAGAAACCAAGCAGGAAACTTGATTTTTTCCAAGGAAACCACTGACAGAATTAACATCTTCCCACAGTCTGGTTTTTGGTTGCATCAGATCACCTTTCTCCAGGCCACAGAGAGGAGATGAGGCAAAGTTTGAACTGGCCCCATCCATTCTATAAGCATTGATTTCTCGGTGTATTTTCTGTCTGCCATGTGCAGCAAGTGCTCCGAAAAGCTTGTGTCATGCTGATTCATTCAGTGATGGGGAATAAAAACACAAGCTATGTAGTCAATGTGAAATCAAGATTAATGGCTTTTCGGCTTGATTTCCTCTGTGTGAAATGAATCCTGTGTTGTGATTTGGTTATTTAATGTTTGTTCAATGTTAGGCATTAATAGCAACTTCTCTGTGTGCACAGGTCATTTGTTCGCATATTTTGGACTTTCCATCATCTCAGCCTTGCACTGCTCTTGCTTTGCTTAACCACTGAGAAAATTCCTGGAGATAATCACTTGCCTCCAGGGATTAAGCATAAAAGAGCAGAAAATGAGCCCAACTTCTGGTGCTGATGTTTAGCCTTGCTCCCTGCATTCCTGCAGCGGCTTGGGTGTTGGTATGGAAAGCCGGCCAGGGCTGCTACTCCCGAAGTTTGCTTTGGCATCTGAACTGGTGTCTAGTTTGGATGTGCTTGGCTGGAAAACTGCCTCTTGTCTTCTGCCAGGTGTGTGTTAGTGATGCCACTGAGCCTTTTTGCCTTGGGGTTATCTGCCAGGATGGTGTACGATGAGCTGCCCGGCTCCTGGTCAGCTCGGAAGGAAGGAGCTCGGGCCAGAGTGACCCACAGCATGGAGGAGCTCGCTGTCTCCATTGCACAGCTAAGAGAAATGTAATTACATCCGTAGCATTTCCATCAATACCGAGCAGCAGCAGGCTGAGTCTCAGGGGAGGTTTTTCATTGCGTTGAAATCTGACTTTATTAATTACCACCTTCTGATCTCATTTGAGGGTTAAGTTTATGAAACTAAATCCTTATTTCTCTGCTTTCCTTATTCAGCTGCCTTATTGAGTTTTGTCCAGTGGATTGCTTGGATCTTAGAAACTCTCAAGGTGTCTTATTCTTCAGGTATGAGGCGTGCAGGGGAAGCGGCGGAGCAAGGGGAGATGACGGAGACATACAGAAGTCCTGGTGAAAGACAGGGAAAGAAATTACATCTCAGGAAATCTGAAAAAGGGGACAGTTGCCCACTGTCAGAGGTCTTACTCCCAAACTATAGCTTATTTTCCCCTCACTGGGAATTCTCCCTTCCCACGTGGGGTGCCAGTGGCAGCGCCCAGAGCCCCCACACTGCCCAGCAAGGGGACGTCGCGGTGGGGTGCCTTGGCAGAGCCTTTGGTGCATCCTGGGCTGCTCACCCCCTCCCAGAGAAAGCTTTCCTGCCTCTCTCTTTATCCAGCGAGCACCAGACTTGGCTGTAGACACTTATGGGAGTGCCTGTTGTTTATCTAGACATCAAATATTATTTTTTTTGAAAAAAGGGAAAATAGCCACTAAACAGCCCTTGAAGCTTTGGGCTAGTATCTAATTCTACTCAAAGAGCTTTGTTAGATAATTGTAATACTTTTCTGAGAGAAAATAGAGCAATTGAGGCTCGTAATTAAAAGCTATTCAGACAGCTTTGATCTCTCCCTCTGCAACTTCACTTACCAAACACAAATGACAACGAGAAACTCTTGGCAATATTTACTGCCACTATTCTTGGTGTTTGCCTTTAAATTAGCTCCTCTTCCTCCCTTCCAGCAAAAGGAAGGTGGGGGGAAGAGTAATGTGGCAATGTGGCATGCGACTTTTCAAGAGGGGTTTCTTTGGAAATTTTGTTTTGTTTTTTTTTTTTTTTTTCTTTTGGAGGGTGCCTGGTGCCCTGTTACTCCATGATGACAGCGAGTGTGGAGCTCCTCTGGAGTCCTCAGAGCTGCCCTAGATCAAGGGTTTATCACATCACATCACAACCAGCTGGGTGGGAATGTTAAACCTTGAGGTGCTGAGATTCTCTGAAGGTACAAACCTGGGCTTGTTTCTCTCAGGACTAGCAGTAAAGCTGGAGGGTCACCATTTCCTTGGGTTTGCAGTGGGAGCATCAGTGGCACATTAGCATCGATTGTCCCTAATCAAGATGAAACCCAGGGGCTCCCAGCACCCCGTAGGTGACAAGGTGAGTGTCACAGGTAAATCAGGCTGTACAGAAAAGGGACAAATTCTCTCTCTTGGATTGTTTTTAACAGTATCATCTAGAGACCCTTCTGCTTCATATCTTTTATATTCCAAGTTTTTGCTCACCCATTTTTTGATCTCTCTTTTAATTTTTTTTTTCCCATCTAAAGATGCTTCTGAGAGCCAAGCCTCCAGTCCTCAATGGGGTATTATTTCTTTTCTCACCTGAAATTGTGACCAACAGTAGGAGACTGCGTAACTACCAGGGAATTATGGCTTCACAGCGAAACAAGATGCAGCCCAGCTTGGATGAGGACAATTGATTGAAACAGCCATTACTACTTGCTGCAGCACAAAGACTTAAAACGCAATAGTAATTTTTGATCCCCACCTCTTATCTATCTCAGATGCCTGCGTTTAAAGCCTGCGGTCAGAATATAAGCCCTGTACGAGCCCTAAGTCCTGTTTTTAGGGTGGGAAATGGCTTCTTCTCCTTCTCCCAGGACTGATGAAGCAGAGTGCTCCAGGGCCGTCTGTCCTCGTGGGTGCAGCCGGAGCTGGGAAGGACATGTCCTTCCCGGGGAGGAGGCAGACAGGAGCCTTCCTCCAGGCTGCTGCAGTGGGCAGGAGCAAGTGGAAAACCTTCAGCTCTTGCTGTAACCAGGGAGCTGCGAGGTTACCTGGCACCTTTGCACTCATCAAGACAGCCTGGACTGTCCCAGAAGGAAATTTTCCCAGCTTCAGGGCTGAACCGGCTTCCCCACTTGATGCACAGTGGCTGGGAAGGGGGTTAGGATGGGAAGGAGCCATGGGGGTCCCTGATTCAGCCTCCTGCAACCTTGCAGACCCTGGAAGGGATGCTTAGTTTAGAAGGGGATTTATTTGATGAATTATTAAGGGGGTTTAATTCCCCGCTTCCAGTCTTCAAGATGTGGCTAATGTGGGCTGGTTGTGGCCAGCAGCAAGCCAGCCCCAGCAGCCTGATGAAATTCAAACGAATGAGCTGGCGTGCAGGCTTTCCCCGGGGGTGAACCTGTGCAACGAGTGGGCAAGTGTCTCCTTGAAGGTGGTTTCTGCTCTCCCACAAACAGCCGTAGCAGCCCGGCCCCAGGTGCTGTGCTCAGAGGGTTCTGCCCGGGCACGGACAGCCCGAGTTTGCAGGTTTTCTTGCAGAAGCATGGTCCCAGCCTGTGTGTGAGGCTGAGCAGCTCTGCGGGAGATCGTAGCGATGCCGAGCTGAAAGCAGAGAGTGCCGCTTAGTGCTGCTGGGCTGAAAGACAGGGCCCCACTGGATGCTCCATCAGCCGGCACACCGGCCAGCTCGGTGCACTGGTGGGAGCCAGAACCCCTCCTAAGTGCAGGAAGAGACCTTGGCCAATGCCAGCCCTTGTAGCCTCGTAGCCCAAGAGAAGAAAGAGGAGCCAACACTCCTGTCTCAGGCATTTTACATAGAGCGAAGCACAGATGAAGGCAGGATGCTGTTATAAAAGGAGATGCTGAGAGATGGGGCTGCTTATCCTCAGGGAGAGAGGGCTCAGGGGATCTGAGCAATATCTAAATGCTGGATGGGGGGTGCAGAGAAGGGGGACCCAGACTCTTCTCAGTGGTGTCCAGTGGCAGGACAGGAGGCACAAAGTGAAATATGGAAAATCCCATTTAAACATAGGGAAAAACTTTTTCTGTGAGAATGGTGAAGTACTGGAATAGGTTACCCAAAGAAGTTGTGGCATCTCCATCCCTGGAGACATTCAAACCCAAGTGGACATGGCCCTGGGAAACCTGCTGTAGGTGACCCTGCTTGAGCAGGGGGGTTGGACTGGACGTTCTCCAGAGGTGCCTTCAACCCCAGCCACTCTGATTCTGTGACAGTTGTGGCATTTGATTTAAATGCGAAAAGCTCCAGCAATGACACTGTCAGGTCTGAAAGTGGGTGACTTACACTCGAAAGGTCCTCTCCATCTAATGAAATATTGCTTTTCCTACAGACTGAATGCCAATGAGCAGCGATGTTGCAGGTAATCAGGCAATTTGTGTGTAAGGTGGTGTCATGTCAGGCAGTTTTCTGCTCTCAGAGAGGTTTTCCCACCTGCGGAGCCCATTGCCAGCAGGTGGCAAGCGTGCTAAGGCAGTGGGTGCCCACAGGCTCTGCTCCCTGGCCTTGCCTGGGCTGCTCCAGGGGGGTCACACAACACACCTGCACTCCCTCATCTGCTGCAGGCATCTGCTTTCCTTCCCCGGGAAGATTGCTCAAGACCACAGCACCCAGCTTTCCTTCCAGAATCGGCCACCCGTATGGTCCCCAGTCCTCCATCTGCCAGGTCTTCCTCCTCTTCTCCAAATTCTTTGAGTCTGACATCTCTTGAGGGTCATCAGCACCTTCTAAGTGGAGCTGATCTCTTCTCCACGTGCCTCCCAGTCTCCTTTTGTGACTGGGGCTTGCTAAGTGTCACCCCACACACTCTTGGGGCTGGGTTTTGAAAAATCCATGCGTTTGCTGATAGTTGCAAGGTGCAGCTAATGAGAAATAGAGATGAAACTTGGCTCAGGGAACCTTGTGGGCACTAAATCTGGGGGTTTAATACTGTGATCTGTTCTTCACGAGGCTGGCTGAAACTGGGGATTCAGCTCTTGAACTTTACAGCAAGTTAATGTTACAGCTGGTATAAAAAAATAAAATCTCTGGAGAAGCTTCTCCTGGAAGAACGTGTTCTTCTTCATTGTCCTTCCAAATTTAACACCGATAATATGGAGAAATCAACACAAGTGATCTTGTATTCACAAATCTCTTTCAGTTTTCTACAAGGGGAAAATGAAATTGCCATGCATGATGTATTGGAAGTTAATTTTGGGTCGGGGCTCTGAGGGCACTGATAGGACTGAACTGCCCTGAGTGGCATCACCTGGGGTCTCCACCCCTGCCCTCACCCATTGCTCCAGGAGCCCATTTAAGCTCAGCCTGCAGCTCCCAGCCCTGGTCTGTTGGAAGGAGACCTGTTTCCAGCCCTGCCTCCTGGATGGACCTTGGATGCATGGTGCAGCCTTGTCTCCAGCCCTGTTTTCTGGACAGACCTTGGATGATTGCTGTAGGTAGCTTGTCTCCCGAGTGGGCTTTGGTATCTGCAATATAGCTGGTCTCTAATCCTATCTCTAGCCCCATCTTCTTTCCACCCCCCCCACCCCCCCCCACCCCCGTCTTACGCTTTTCTGGTGGCATTTGGACAGGTAAGAGCCCAGCTTGGTGCCTATTTGTCTAGGGAAAGCTGGAGAAAAAAAATTTAGCTGAGACAGCCTTCCTTAAATCAGTAATATATATATCCTACAGGGCTAAAAGGTGTGAGAATAAGCTTTTCACAGATCTCCTACTTACTGCAACCTTACAAGACAACTTACTGCTGCACTCAGCTGGGCATCACCCTCCAGGACAAGGGCTGGGGGCAGTTTGGTTTTTGCAGATGTGATGAGGGGAGTTAGTCTCTGGCGTTGCTTTGGCCAGAAAAAGGCTACTTACATTTAACAAGGTGCTTTGGTGGCTAATACAGAGCCAAAATAACAGATCTGTGGTAGGTGCATCATTCTTGCTGTGGTCGATCACTGTTAAGGACTGACTGTGGCACCAAGCCCTGGTCACCTCGGCAGGTATACTGGTGAGACTTCTCCGTGGCTGGGAAAGCTGGAAGAGGGGGTGTGCTCACCCCCCCATCTATCAGTGAGGGAGAGGTTCCCTCGCTGGGAGGAGGAGGATGGGCTTTCAACATGTTTTTGATAGATCTTGAAGCTTTCAGTATGCTGTTTCTGATCTCCAGACTCTTCCACTCAAGTCCTGGTGCTGTTGAAGTACTTTTACTATTACCCTCTTAAAAAAAAAAAAACTTTATCTGCCGTGCTTGCTAGAGTTTTTCCTGTGGCTTACAAAACACCTTGATTTTATTACAATTCTACAATGTATTTTATAGTAGGTAAAATGCAATATATACAGCAAAGACACAGGACAAATAGTGTAAGTATTCCTTGGTGAAAGAAGGACCAGCCTCTTTTTTTCCCCATGAGGTTTATTTCATTAATCACTCTTAAATAAATATATATTTGACACTTAACAGGAACAATTAGTTAAAAATACTTTCTAACGCAAATTCCCACAGTTGCAACAGTATTTGTATGGAGTGTTGTTTAACACTATTTTTGAGACCCAAATCTTGCTTTTTGGTTTAAATTTAACTTGTGTGAACAGTTTAGGAAAGAGGGAATTTGGGGTGGGGGTGGAAAATAGACATCCCTCAAAAACAAAGCCATAACACACACGCGCACATAAAAACAGTTTGTTTTCTCTTTCAAAAACTCATCTTACATCCTCTGTCCATTTTATTGATATTTCATTGGAAGTGCTCGTTAGCTCTGCTCCACGAAACAATCCTCCAAATAACATAGCTTCATTAAGAACTGAGCATTACATTAATCTGAAAACTAGTCTCCAGCTTGTCTGTGCCGTACAGCAGATGGCAATAAAGGACCACTATGTACCAGAAGTACACCTCGAAAAAGTAAGTTTTCTGTCCTTAGTGCTTCAGAGTGTGTAACTGAAAATAAGAATATAGAAACGCATCTTTGAGAAGTTGGGAGGTGCAGAAAAGGAAAAAATGCAAGAGTCGCAAGTAAGCAATGTCTATGGACAGACGATGCAAACAATGATGATAAACACACACATACATTACATGTCAATGAGAGAAAAAACATTGCACGTTCATTAGCCACCACTTCAGTCAGCCCCTGCAATGCCATGGGAGGGAAGGGATCTGTGAGCCCCAGCCCACTGTTCAAGAAGTTCTGCATTCCAGCATCTTCCGGAAACTTTTCCGAAAACTGTCGTCCAGGAAAGCATACAGGAAAGGATTCAAGCATGAATTGGCGTAACTTAGGCTGGTGATGAAGTAGGATATACCAATGACCATGGAGGTCTGGGGCAAGTCAGTGGTCAAAGCCACAATGGTGGCCAAGTGGAAGGGGGTCCAACAGAAGAGACACACAGCCAGGACAATGAAGACCATAATAGTGACTTTCTTCTTGGCTTTGTCCAGGGCTTTAGCATTAGAGTTTAAGTGCATGTTCCTTAGCTTGTAGAGCATCATGGTGTAGAGGATGCAAATGGTGGATACAGGAATGGCAAAGCCAAGGATGAGGGTATAGATCCTGCTGGCTTTGAACCAAAACCTTTCAGGCTTGGGGAAATTGAGACCACAGCTCTTGATCTCCAGGTCATCTATGTAGACATTGGCAAAAATAATGAAAGGGAGAACTATGATGGTGACTAGAATCCAGATGCACAAACTGACGATCCTGGCTGCTCGGTAAGTACGATGTGGCATCCTCTTGGACCTGACTGTAGCCAGTACTACCAGATACCTGTCTATGCTCATCACTGTTAGGAAATAAATGCTGGAGAAGATATTGTAGTGGTCTATGGACAAGATGACCTTGCAGAGAACTTCTCCAAAGGGCCAGTAGTGGAGGAGGTGTTCAGCAATATTAATGGGCAAGACAAGTGTGAACAAGTCGTCAGCTATAGCAAGGTTCAGGATGAACATGTTTGTCACAGTCTTCATCTTGGGGGCCTTGAGGATCACATAGATGACAGCAGTGTTGCCTGTGAGCCCAACGGCACAGATGACGGAGTAAATCACAGGGAGGACAACGTAGAAATCGGCTGCCTGCTCTTGGAAGGTTAAGTTGAACCTCACGCTGTTGTCCAGGTAGCAGCTGTTGCCTGCATTGCTGCAGGTGCTGTTCAGATCATCCCAAAGAGAGCTGTTGCCCATGCCTGCTGGTCACGGACCACCCTCAGATGTCATTGAAAGCCTTGCTAGCCCAGAAGGGAGACCTTTTTTTTTTTTTTTTTTTTTTTTTTTTTGTGAGAAGCAACTGTTATCTCATTTAGAAGCGGGGTATTTCCAAAGAGTGGGTTGTGAGGCAGCATGAATTAACTTGCCTCTCCTGTCCCCTACCATTGGAGAAACTAGATTTTGGAGTGGTCAGGGAGGAAAAAAAAAGAAAAAGATTGGAAGACACATCAAATAAAGCAAGCAGGAGAATTATAACTCCCTGTGCAAGCTAAGGAATTCTTCTTTCTGAGAGCATCCTGGTGAGCTTTGGTTTTTCTCTGCTGGGCAGGTCAAGTGGCTCCGGTTCAACTGTCTGCAGCAAGAGTCCTTCTCAGGGCTGGAAGGAGCAGGGAGCGCAGAGAGGAAGCTTTGTGCCTGGCTGACGATTCACAGCCCTTGGAGGACCCGAGGGGTGGCTGCTGTTTCATTCGCACAGCACTTGCCTTTCCATGTCAGAGCAGAAGCGTTGCAATGTTTAATTAGTGCCTTTCTCTGTGTCGGAGTTCAGACTCTTTTCATTGACTGAGATTTCACAAACAATGAGGAAGTTTCTGACACGGCTACTCCCCATTCCCAGGGTCCCCTAGCAAAAGAAGGAGGGGGGAAACATAGAGTTCAAGGAGTATTTCCAAAACTAAGGGTTAAAGTGGCTTATCCCACTACTATAGTAACTCTTCAAACAAGGATAGGTTATGATATTATTCAATATGAAGAACATGCTCATTGCAAACAACCGTGGCAGCACACAAAACTTGGAAGGGATGCACAGACAAACCTGTAAATCTCAAAAGTTTGGGGGAGAAGCACCCTGAAAGCAAAACCACTTTAGAGTCCAAGCAAGAATTACCCTGTTTACATCTGTAGCAGTTGCTACATCCATCGCTATTGCCTGAGCCATACTGCCAAGAATTCCTCCGCAGGGAAGTGAACAACCCCCCGATTTCCATCCCCCCCCCCACCTCCAGTGAAGATCAAAGACTTGGCAACTGGTCCCCAGGCTCTGCAAAGAGAAGCGCCTCGCTTCACTTGCGTTTTGTTGTCGCACGACGATAAAGTGAGCAGGACCGCCGGTGTTGGGAACAAAGGGTTGAAGTGCCCCTTACCTGGCGAGCGGCTCCGGCTGCCTCCTCCAGCACCTCCTGCTCGGCACTGTTGAGCCTCTGCTTTTGCATCCGACTCGGAGGAGGGTCTCCGGGATGCTGACGTTACCCAGCTTTGCAATCACATCAACGTGGTGGTTCTGCGTGTGCATTGCATGGCTGAGCAATTAGTACTTGTTCACACCAGGGAGAAGTGTGTAAAGTGTGTGTGGGGGGGGAAAGTTTTCTCTCTGCAGGGCTATTTAAATAGTAAAGAAGGTGGATGCTGGTGAGCAGCTGATGCTCCAGGGCTGTTCTCTTCAGGAATGAGGGAGATGGTGAGGGGCACAGGCAGCACCCAGGGCTGGCAAGCTGTGGCTGGCTGAACGAGGGATGTGTGAAACGGTGGGAAGGGGGCGGTTAAACTGCTTCAGTAGGGAATGCTGGCTGGTTTTAACAAAGGAAGATGCACAAATGTGTGTGTCGGGGGGAGGGGGGGGGGCATTGGGGGTGGGAGGAGGGTACACAACATTACAGTGCTCAAAATGAACAAATAAACAGACGTGCCTTGCCAGATCTGTGCTGGTTGCAGCTGCTCTGGGGGAGCTCAGCTGGTTTTGCCCAGCTGGGTCTCTGGTCCCGCTTTGGAAATGCAGCTAAATCCTTCAGATGTGCATCACAAGATGCAGGAGTCCTGTGAAGCTTGACAGAATTGCACCCCAGGTTATATAGCAAAACCAACAACAGTGTAAGATCACTTTACCTTCATGTCCCTATAAGAAGAAGAAGAAGGAAATCAAGCGTCTTTTGATTCTCTTTTAGTCTTTTAAATGTATCCCCCAGCTGCAGGTTGCCTGACCTTTGTTTCAATACCAGGCAAGAGAAAATGCAGGCATCCATCAGCGCTACGGCCGGCAGCGTGCAGTGTCATTTAACCAAGCGGGTCAGCTCGTTTGTATGAGCCATGTAGCCAAGGGCTGTGTTTGACTTTGCTCCTCTTTTGTAGATATTTACCCTTTTCCAGCAAGATTACTGTGCACCGGTAACTGGGTGGGAAGAAAACACTTCACTGCACTCAGGGAGGTAACTCCTTAAGGCCATGGCTATAACTGACTTTTCAGCAGATGGTATTCTTTTTTTCTTATGGCCAGTGTACAACTTTCACAGATATTTTCTGTATCTCGGCCAAAATTTTACCAACCATTAGGCCTAAGCAAAATTAATCTGAAATTAAAGATTGCTCTGGAAGATGTATAGAAGTGATATAGATGATAATTCTTCAGATTAAAGACCCCCAGAGCCTTTCTCTTGCCTGTTTTGGGAAAGCTGACAGAGTTTGTAAGTACTTGCAAGGGAAGCAAGATTTTGATAGGTCTGTAGGGGCAAGGTAGTTTCCCAGGAATTGCTGTTGTTTTTGTCAAAGAGAAGAAAATTATGGAAGATAGAGAATTTCAGTAGAATGTAATGTTATATTTGCTGATCTGTAACTATTTTCCAGGGCAAAAAGTTGTAAAAGTATTTGGCACTGAAAATTCTTCCATTGTGGCTTTTTTTTTTTTTTTTTTTTTTTTTTTTTTCAGTATAAGGCACATCTCTCAGGTCTCTTGGAGGGCTTAAAAGCTGTCCTTTCACTCCCCAAAATCTGTTATCTTGGAATTGGCTGTCGCGCTACCTCGGCCGGGGGCTGTGTGCCCGGGTGCTGTGTGTTTTGGGACATACCCCTACGGGGATGGGAGTCCGGGGGGGGGGCTCTGGGGGGGTGGGTGCCTGCAGATCATGCGTGGGCTGTGCCCACCCCGCAGTGCCGGGGCTGCAGCCCCCCCCGGCTGCCTGTGCTGCCTTACTTCTCATTACCCACAGTGAGCACGGTCTCCTGCGTGCTGTGGTTAGGATGTGTTTGATTAAAACAACCTTGTCGGAGATGAGATGGAGACAAAGAATTTAATCTCGTTGTCTGGTGTGAGTAGAGGGCTTTTTGTTTCTTTTCTATCCCCCAGACAAATTCACGGTGCCTGCTTTCTGAGCTGTGCTCCTTGCCTAGTTCCTTGGACAGATTTGCAGTAAAACTCACTTGCTTTGGGGAGAACAATTGCATACAGATCTAAATTCATGCATGAAATTGCTGCGCAGCAGGAGCACTTCCACCAACAAAGAGAAAATCTTTCCCTTGTGTTGGCTCTGGATCTGACCGGAGCCAGTGGCTGAGCACAAAGAAGTCACACTGTGTGTACTGGTGTGATGTGAAACACGGAGTACCTGGCTGAGAGGATGTTCTATTCACCTTTTTTTTTTCCTCTGGTTGGGTGTCCCTTCCACTTGATTATAAGTGTTACGGTGGCACAAAGTCCTGAAAATCAAGTACCAGTGTGAAGTTGCTGTCACAAAGGACACGAGCTGTATTTTTCCTCTGAACCACTTGGACTTATTCTTACCCAGGCAGCTCTGTTGCCAGCACGGTGCAGAAGGGACAAAGTTTGTATCCCTGGCAAATCCATGCCATGGAGATGGACTTTGCCTCCTGAAACCCACGTTCACATCACACAGCTCAAGTCAGCTGTGCAAACAAAAAGAAAAGGGGGTGTATCATGGAGGGGGAAATCCCTTGCAGCGCTAAGTCAGTGGTTCTTTATTGCCTTCATAAAGTTGACGTGCTGCTGACTCGCAGACAAAGGCCATCCATCATTTTGGAGCTACGGAGAACTGTGTTGGCACCGGTGCCCGGGGGCTGCGGGCTGAGCCACGGCAGCAGCTCACACCTCGCTGGGGATGGGCAGGGCAGAAGCTTTCTTGCCCTGGGTCGCTCTTGGAGAGCGCTTCAAACTATCTGCTCAGATGATGGGATTATTTCCCCACCAACAGTGTGAGTGATGTTGTATGAGCCCTCTGAGATGCTTCAGTCCTCCAGCGAGAACACGTCTAAAGGGTTGTCTGAGGCAGAAAGCTGCTGCCTCTAACCAGGTTTCAGTCCTTTCAGTGAGGACTTCTCCAGGTCACAAGGAGTGAAGTCTACCTCGCCTCCCTTGGTAATTCACAGGGACAATTAAAGAGGATGAGTTCCTCTGGATCAGCCCCTGAGATAAACCCCCTTTTCCTCCTCCTTTTTCAAAGTCACAGTAATCTCGGCTGGATTTAATTTTGAAATTTTTTTGAATTACGGCTGCTTTTTATTCCATGCAGGAGCGCCAGGGGAGATGGAGCCAGGCTTGCTGGAGGGGTGACTTCACCGGGGAAGGGAATGAACGTGTTCTTCCTGAAAGGGCTCGCAGGGATAGGAGGAATGTTCAGCCATTTAAAATGAAATTATTTAACTGCAGGAAAGAAAATGGAGAACTGATTATGCTCTGCTCTACTGGGGGGTGGTAATGTTGGAAATTTTTAATGCACCTGCGCTACTGCTGCCTAAAGTCAGAGATCATCTGCTGATCAGGCAGTAGCTTTCCAGGGCTTTTTTACCTTCTTTGAAAAGTATATTCTTGTCTTTGGAGTAGAGTTAAAGGAGAGCTGTTAAATAAAGTAAAATCAAGATGGTTTCTTAGTCACCCAGGGTACCCCTCAGGATGCACCTTGCTTTTGGCATTCTTGCTTTGGAGACAAGGTATGATCATCTCCCTGTGGCCACAGTGCTGGCAGTCCTCGTCCTTTTCTGGGGTGGGCTTTGAACCTCACCTCCGTGCCCATGTGAGAGTCATCCTGGGAGGATCCACAGATCATCTGCATCAAGAGAGAGGAGGCTTGACTGAAAATCTGGGGCTCAGAGAAGGGTATAATCACATGAGGAGGTCAGATCTGGATTGGGATTGCTGTTCTAGGACTCCAGCTTTCCTAGACATCCAAAGGGATTGCTTTCCCCTCTGCTTTACTTCCCAGCTTTGGAGAGCAGGGGCTGTGCAGTGCTGGGCTCAGCATCCCTCCCCCAGCCAAGCCAGGGAGCAGCAGCCCTCTGCTTCGCAGGCCTTGGACATGACCTGGGAGCTCCTGCAGCAACCAGAAGAGTCCTGTGACTCGATCCAGTTTGAAAAGATTGCTTTGCTTCGCACCCCCACCTCCCCTGAGGGATTAACAGGGGAAGCAATCCTGTTTTGTTAGGCTCCTGCTGCTGTCAAAGAGTCAAGTTCATCTCAAGAACACAGATACACAATCAATACTCTGCTCATCAAAACAAAATGTTCTCGGCTGGCTATCTTGCGGTCGCTGGTTATTAGAGTGATTTATTTGTATGAGGTGTTCAGGCTTTTCAAAAGATGGTACAGCACTGCAGGTTAATATCCAGAACCAATTATGTCAAACAGTCTGTAAGTGATGGCTTTTGGTGAGTAAAGCCAGTGTGCCTGGTCAGGTTATATTTATTGTAGGATAACTCACTGTGCTGCTGCCTCGGCCTTGGGGCTGAGTCTCCCCTGGGTATGCCCTGGTCCCAGCCTGGGGACACACAGAGGTTGGCTGCCACATCCCCCATCCTCCTGGGTGTGGTGTTGGCTCAGCAAAGGAGCAGTCGGTGGGTGTTGGGGTGATCTGGAAAGGAGAAATCTGAGCTTATTCATCACCCCTGTTCTGGGTGCTTCCCCCTTTTCCACGAGCTGGGACATGTGCTTCTGCTTCCCAACCCTTCCCACCCCAAGTGAGCCAGCTTGGCTTAGGCAGATGCTGCTCACCTTGTGGGACACCCCTGGGAACCAGGCAAGGGGTGTAAGTGCTGATTTTTTTCTGGGGGATGAGGACAAAGCAGATGTCTCCATTGGTAAACTGGTGAATTGTGGGTGAAGAATGTGCCTTTGGTAATAATTGCAGTGGATCCAGCAGCTGGTGACACATCCAGCCCGCCACAAACTGCAGTGAATGCAAAGGGGTACTGGAAGTGCTATAAAGAAAATCAGAGTAATGAGTCTTACTTATAAACAGTCTGGTTTTGTCAGGCAAGGGATGTATCAATAACTGCCCCATCTCTGTCTCTATAGCGAAGCAGTCAAGACAAATGTTGGATGAGTAATTTCCTCAAACCAGAGGTGATGGGGAATAAAAGCTGTAGCACTGGGAGGTGGTGGGTGGCTGGCTGGAGCTCTTTTTTCCTTTCCTGCAAGCCAGGAATGTCTCTGAAGCTCCTGCAGTGGGTCAGCCCTTGTTCCCAGCAGCTTTTGGAGACCCTGGTTCTTCTGCGGGACATCCCCAGCCCCGTGGTGCTGACACAGCCCTGGCCTGGGTGTGTGCCCAGAGGCACGATCCAGCTGTGGAGGGCGAGAGGCATTGCAAGAGGCTGCCAGGCACCCAGCAAGGAGCCCGTGCTGGCAGCGGTGTGTTAATTAATAGAGCTCTGGCAGTGTACCCCTGGCCGTATGGGCAAGGACATGGTGCCACTCCTGCTGTAATTCATGTGTATCTGTGAGAATTTAAAGAGCACAGGCAGA